ATTGAGAAACACCCACTATCTTATTCGCTGCTATTGAACTGTTCCAATAGCTCACCATAATGAATTCATTAAATTGAGCATAGTCTAATATTTCTCCATATCACAACTTATGTCTAAATTTCTTTAAAATTTATGAAACTCCCCCATGCCAGATTGTTTTGAATTAGTAAAGTTGAGAACTTGTTATATTCCGGCCCTTCCTATTGGTAAAGCTATACTCACTTGTCCTTCATTGGATAGCTGCAGGTACGCACAACTCAGTAGAAACCTCTCGCTACATCCACTCTCCCTGAATTCCACTGACTGGCGATTACATAAACCAAACCTGCAACAAACTGTGGACTGAATAATGGCCTGCATCAGGATCAGGGGGGATAAAGGTCCCCGTCCCTTTAAACCCCCACTGCTAACATGCCAAATGCATGTTATTCCTTCCTTGTCACCCACACATCTTAACACCACATATGCCCACATGAAACAAAACTCTGTTGCCTTCCCTAAAACGGGCAATCTTACATTTTGTTTCCGGAACAATCCAATGGCTATGGCTTTTAAACTTGCCCGTTCCCCGTGGGATGATAGGGTGTACGATGAGTATTATCCACCTCAGCAACTAACAGTAACTCTGCAATAAGGTGGCTTTCAAAGCTGAGCCACTGGTCTGCATGTATTCCACTTGGAAACACTTGCACGCAAAGAATTGTTCCCACAACACCTTGGCCAAAGCCTTGGCTGTCTGGTTTGGGCGTACAAAGGCACCTAACAGCCATGTAAGAAATAATCAGTGATCACCAAAACATTAACACGGCGTATCTATGAATCAACAGCAGTTTAGAAATCCATACACACCAGCTCCATTATGATTTGAGAGTCAACAGCAAGGTGGGAACCAGCAGGGTGGTATGAAGTATGAAGTATGAAGTATGACTAGTATGAAGACAGGGGGAGCAGGATGGCCAGCAACACCTGCTGGCCAAACGGGGACAGAACACTGACTCTGAGAGCATGGTTAGCAAGACAATGATTTATTTGCCTTTAAATCACTGGAGAAAAGTTTTTACCAGATGAATACAAGTAAATAAAAAATACATTTAAAAGTTTTTAAAAATTGTTCATACAACAGTTTAATGTGATTTGTTAACATGCTAGATGCTATTCTAGAAACTTACTACATGGGTTAGTTTGAGAGTGTATATCATGTAAAGCACAGAAACTTAAAAATTAACAGGTATAACGGTTATGTGTTTTACCCTGAGAAACAGAAAGAATATGCCATAAGTATGTAGCAAATATTTGACTTTATAGTCTTTTCATTGCAAAACATTTCTAGAATAAAAACTGGACAAAGTCAGAATTGACCTGCATGGGCCACCCAGAATGGAGACCAAGTCAGACCTCAGTGACCTCATCCAAAACCTCATCCAGAATCTTATCCATGACATCACTGTCCAAATTAATCTCTTCCAAGTCTAGCGTAGGGACAAAGGTGACCAGGAGATGGCCGATGCGTTGCCGGAGGTTCCTCAGCTTTCTGGGGATTGCAGGGTGATGATAACAGTTATGTACAGTCAGGGGTACAAAACAAGCAAAGCAAACTCATTTTCTAAAGAAGCTACTGAAATTCA